GCCCCGAGACGCCGAGCGCGCACTCAACCGTCCCGCCGCGCCTGCCGGCTCCCGTCAGCCACTCGTCCCAAGGCGCATGCGCACCCGCCGCCAACACAGCTCAGGGATCCCGCCAGCGCTACAAGTGATTCCTCTGCGCATGCGCCTACCCTCTCCCCACGCCGCTTCAAGGGCGCGAAGCTGTCTTCAGTGCCCGCCCCCGTGGACTTCCTCTCGCACTTTCGCTCTCGCGCTAGAACGGTAGGCAGTTTTGTCAGGGGCTCCGGGCCGGGGCGGCGGCTGGGCCAGGTGGGTGCGGGGCGCGAGGCGCGATGGGCCGGCGCCGCCCGGGCAGAGCAGCAATGCGGACCCCCCTTCCCTGGGTTGATCTGCTGCTCCGCTAGCTGTCCCTGCCTTGTGCTCCCTCCCCCGATCTGCCTCTCTGCTGTCTGCTCCCTGCCCTGTGCTCCCCACCCGAACTGCTGCTCGGCTTTCTGCTCCCCGGGGTGCCCTGTGCTCTGCTTCCCGATCTGCTGCTCTGCTCTCCGCCCGTCCCCTCCCTGTCTGCCACTCTGAGGGGCTGCCCATGCCACTTGTGACACATATGCTGCAGGTTGGTCACTCCAATGCAGGCAGAGAAGAGGGTGCGGGAGTGCCGGCACGATAGGCCAGCAGCACGAGACAGAAAAGCCTGGGACCTCGCGCTGGCCTAGGAGAAAGGCAGACTCCACAGGTGCCACCTGGGCTCAGAGCCGGCTGCCTGCGCTGCTGAGACAGCGGCTCTTAGCGTCAAGCCACCCTTGGTGGGAGAGTTCAGGAGGAGCTGGGGACCTTGCACTCAGCAGAACTTGTGCATGAGAAGGTTCCCAGTAGCCAGGAGTTGCTGGTTATTGCTGTCTGCTCCCGAGCCTGGTTAACACCAGCAATAGCTGCAGGAGAGCATTGGCAGTGCATACAGCGAAGACTAGAGACAATTGAATAAGAAATATAGAATGTGCCCTTTACCTAAGCCGTACCAATGCAAGCCATACATAGAAAAGTAGCAACTATCTCCTTCCTCCGTCAGCACAGGCTTACAGTCTATAGGGCTATGTTGACTGCAAGAATAAACATACCTGCATGGCAAACAAGGCAGGAGGAAAGCTTAAAAAGGATTTAGCATCTCCAGGGTATTCCCAAATTGGGAAGAACTCTGGAGATGGTTTTCCTAAAAGCAGAGGAGAAGATAATTTTTCTGAGACCACAAAAATGGAGCAGTGGTCAGTAAGCGCTTGTTACTGTTCTTGATGTTTAGGGCTGGCACCTGCAGCTTCCAGACTGTCAGGGATACTGGTGTTGGCAATGATTCAGTTACTGCTGATCTTGAGGGCTTATAGAAAGCAAATTTTCAGGGAGCTTATAGGCCTTGAATTGTGGGTAGATGATTGATAATAGGGGTGAACTTCAAGAAGCATGATGTTTGCAGAGAAGATTGCAGCAGAGTGAAAGCTTTGAGTCAAGAGGAAGTTGTAGCCAAGGCACATTTAATGCTTTCCAGGGAAAATGTTGGAAGTTGAAACACAAGTAAAGCATGTACTAATGGAAGGCGTATTCTTCAGCAGATAGTCTAAGGCAGCATTTCTCAACCCATGGGTTGCAACCCAAAAGTGGGTCGCAAGAATGTATGAAAGGGTCACCAACAAACTTTAAAAATGGATTCTCCTTTAAAGAAGGAAAACATGGGGAACTGTGGGCTTTCCCTTGCAGTCTGGTGTTTACAAATGCGTCCTGGTACAAAAACATTGAGAACCACTGGTCTAGGGGACTAAACAGGTTGGTCCCTACACACTACTCAGCCTCTGCCTGCTCCCTGGCCTTCCTTACTAGTCCGCAGCATCTGAGATCTGTCAACTCCAGTTGACCATGCCTTTGAGAATGCCTCCCTCATCACAGGGCTCCCAGCCAAAGCTAAACTGTAGGCAAGAGAGGACAGCGTGATTTGACCCCTCAAAGTATCAGACCATTTCTCTGGCCTCCCCTACCCACAGACTTTAAAGTTCTTTTAAGCATTTCTCCAAGTGCCCTTCACATGCAGCCTGATATTTGCCCGCTGTTTGCTCTCTTTTTGCACTTTTTTAAAGTCAGATGTTCCTCCTGCTCCCTCCCAAGTTGCACTGATAACTTGTTTATTGCCCAAGGTGTTTAAAGGCATAGTTACCTCCAGGTTTTCCCCTCCCTACATTTAATATTTGCGCTTTCTGTTCATATTTAATGGAAAAATAAAGGTTGTGCTTCCCATTTAAAAACGGCTTGATTATTCATGCCATGGTATTTCAGCTTTCAAACTAGCCAAATAAGCCAAGAAGGTAAAGAAATCTGGACCCTCATAAAGTAGCTGAAACATGTGAAGCAAGCAGCCCCTGTGCACGTGCTGCCTAAATCTCCTAGCTAGGGGTAAGCAAAATACAGCCTGCAGGCTGGTTCTGGCCTGCCAAATAATACTATTAATCCGACGGCTGCTCCTCTGAAGGAGAGTTGTATCAGGGCCACTTAGGGAGTTTTGGTGAGCTTTTGGGAGGGGGAGATGCTAAGCTCACCAAAACTCCCTAAGTGCCCCTCCAGCCCAGATAATTGTCCATCCCTGTCCTAAGCTAAAGTGTACACAGAGCACAGGTCCCATATGGTTAAAGATGTTCCAGGCATGAACTGTCAAGTGAGCAGTATTTATAAATCAGCAAAGCACACAGGAAATGGCATAGCAACCCCAGGAAACTGATAACAATGAAACCCCAAACCAGCCCAAATGTACTGTGTTCTGCTTACAGATTCATGGCTACAAAAGGGGCTCCCAAAAACTGAATCTCCAAGCTGGAGCCAGCAACTGCTGCATCAAACATTTAGGCCATGTGGGTCAAATAGGTACATAAAATGCCCCAGACAAGGTGTCTCTGTCTACTGCCATTCTGGAATAGGTGGCATAAGCTGATTCCTTAAAACTAAGAGTTGACCGCCTTTTACTAGTGCTGGGCCTGCACTTACAACATGGCCACCACTGCAAGCCACCAATCTGCCACTGTCCCAGATCTGCAAAGAACTGCTTTCTTGCTCCTGTAATGCAGCTTCTGCTGAAAAGTGCACCTCTGAAAACTGAGAAAACTTGTGGGGCAGATGTGGCCCACAGGTGTTGGCTGCCAGCGCAAGCCTTAAACCATCATTCCTGTCTTTCTGTGCTGGAATTGGGTCTTGGAGCCTTGTGCTGTTTCAGCCCAGTCTTATGAGCTGGAATCAGACCTCAGAGCCCCACCCAGCCCCTTGTGTCCAGTCTAGCATGCAAGGTTACAGCCTTGGGGCTACCCACAGACCTGTGGAGAGCTCTGAAGGACAGATGACATTGCACTGGGGCCCAGATCTACCCTGTGGGCCAAGGTTTGAGCATGTGTGTTGTAAAACGTAGACTCCTGGCTACCCTTCAGGTATGTGGTCTGCTCTGCAAAGCAGGAAATACCCCACATCGCAGAGGACTGGCTCTCTTCAGCCTGTGCGGAGATGCATACAAGCACAGCTGGAGTTCTCTAAAGAAACTGAGCTGCAGTTAGTCAGCATAAGGAGCCATCAGATTGCACCAGTTCTCTACCCATTTTTCATGTTTTTGGGGGCACCACAACAGAGAGGAGTTTGTGGGCTTGGCTCAAACTCACAGCATAGGTCTACATGAGCGGTTCTCAACCTCATTAGACTCAAGGCACCCCTCAGACAATTCCAGCTTAGTTTTCACTTATTCTTCACTATAGAAAGATAACAGAGCAACTTTTTTGTTGCAAAGAACTCAGAGAGAACACAGCAGGTGAACATTCCTATTTGAAATTGCTAGGTTTATCTTGTGAATCATGTTTGCACATGTAACAGCAAATATGGTATGACACCCCATGAAAAGATGTCAAGACAACCTAGGGTGCCAGGGAACCCTGGTTGAGAATCACTGGTCTGCATAGGCAGCACTGTGTAGCAGTACCCAAGCTAGCTTAGTGGGCACTAGATTGCAAGCCAGAAGCCATCAGCCACATTCATGTAGTGCTGTACCCAAGCACTGCTGAGAAATGGAGCCAGTTAACCAGGTACAGCACCAAGGTATATTTTTTCCAGCTCAGGAATTAAGTAGGATACCTGCATGGTCTTGCCTTGCATTCTACATGCAAGTGATTCTCAACATCCTGGAGTGCCACATAGAGGTGCATTGATACATTGGTCCAAATTGTATTGGCATTGATAAAAGGAAAATTGACATCATCAGCAATCAGCTTTTTTTGACCGATGCGGCTGATAACATCACAGATAAATGTCGTATGTGTATGCAGCCGCAGCATACACATGGCCAGGAGTGCAGCCCGGCAGCTTAGAGAGCAATGTCTGGCCAGTAAGTCTGTGGGTGGATAAGGGGCACAGGGGAGAGAAGGAGCGTGGGGTAGCCGATCAAGGTCCTCATGGAGGGGGACGGAGGGAGGGAATGGAGCACAGGCAGGGACAAGTGCTGCCCAACCAGGGTAAAGCAGGGTGCAGAACAAAGTCACAAGTGGCTTGTCCAGGAGGGCGGGGTGGCTTCCGCCGCTGCACACACACCAGGGGAGGCATGAGGAGCATGTGCCCCCCCTAGATTTGTGCATAGGACAAGGATGGGCTTCACGCTAGGGGCTGGGGGCTGCACCAGCCTCTTCCTGGTGTGTGGGCTGTGCGGGGGCAGGGCATATGGTGGCAGTGGCACTGGGAGGGGGGCTATGGGGTGCTACAGTGAATTTTGGGGTGACTGTACCCCATCCCATAACCTCCCAGCACCACTACTGCTCACCCCACCCTGAGCACAGCCCTGGCCCAGCCCCTCCCCCTGCCCCCCACCAGGAGGAGGCTGTGGCAGACAGCCTACCCTTGCCGTGCACACAAACCCAGGGGGCATATGCCCCCCATGCCTCCCCCAGGGTGCGTGCAGAGGAAGGAGCTGTCCCCACTCTCCTGCCCCCTGTGCCCCCTCCCCACCCCCGATGAGCTGCCTGCAGTTCTGTCCTGTCCCATGCCCTGCCCCGGCTGGGCAGCCCCTGTCCCAGCCCCACTCCCCTCCCTCACCATGGGGGCCTTGATCTGCACCCCCATGCCCCTTCCCCCACCACAGACTTACCAGTCCAATGCTGCTCTCCAGGCTGTCAGGCTGCATATCGGCAATCAGATCGGTACTGGCCAATAAAACCTTTAACTGGTGCACACCTAGTGCCACAAGATCCTTTGAAGGGTGC